ACACACACACACACACCGGTTTAAGAGAAGAGCTGCCTCATAGCCTGTGGGAAGACTCTCCACTCTTCCACTGCCACAGCCTGGTTCAGCCGACAGATGTGGTGATCTCCAGACTCCCCTAGCACACAGCCAGGTCTTCCCCTTGGCTGTGCTGTCATGGAATACACTCCCTGCCCCTGACTCCCCAGTTCCTCCTCCAGAGCCACACACCAGAGCAACGAGCTTCTGGCTGGCTTCTTCCTTGCCCAACACCCAACAGTCCTTTGCCAGCAGTGAAAGCAACCAGTCAAGAGCCCAGCCTTCCTTGGGGAAGTTCTGTGGGTCTCTTCTGTACATAGTTTGGTTGAGGAAGGAAGGTCCTGATCATGCCTCCCTGCCAAGGGTGTCCTGGTACCCATGGGCTTTCGCTTTCATTGTTGGGGTTGAGTTTGAACTGGGGGGTGACTGCCCTGTATCCAGCATCCACCTATCCTTCCTGCCTACCTACCTTCCCTCCCTAATAGTTAAAGCCATATCAGTTAGACTGCAATACTATCGATACTAAAAACTCTGGCAGGCCACGCTCGCTCATCTTGTACAAAGGAGCGTCCTGGGTTAGGGGGGAGCCCCCCTCCTTGTCCCCTAGCCTGCTTGTCTGTGTCTCTGGCCGCCCACTGTGTGGCCCGTGCGTGTTTCCTCATTGGTGTCTCTGTAACAGGGTAAATCACCCACAATGCCTATCATATGTCTTATTGTCTCTGCTAGTCACTCACTCGATGGTCACCGTATGGCCCCATGGAGCCCAGGGCTGGGGGGGCGGGCATAGGGACCACAGGCAGAGTGGAAATAGGAGCAGGCTGGAAATGGAGAGAGCTGGCCCATTAATCCATTGTTTGTCCACAAAGCACATGGTATGGCTTGCCATTGTGTGTGCTGTCATCTCACAGGGCAGAGTGTGTGGCATGACTGACCAATGGGAGCGCTGAAAGCTCCATACTGGTGGCTGGCAGGGACTCCTGTATCATACTGTCACTCCTTTGCCTGGGTTGGTACATGTCCTCCATCTACTTGATCCTCCTGGCTGCATGTTGAAAAACTGCAATAAATCCACCTCTCACATGGGGCAAAGGGCTGATGCTGAAGCCAGCATCTCACCTTAAGGTGGCGCTGCTGATGCTCTCAATGTGTTTAGGGCCACTGCACCCTCATAGGTTGGGTACTCCCATCCCTCCAAGCAGGCTGCTGGATGCCCGTGAGCCCCTGAATGCCATGGGCGGCAAAGCTTCTGCCCATTGGCCTGTCCTAAGTAAGCACTGTTGAAGGGCCTTTGCATGGCTGTGGCCACCACGAAAGGATGAAACCTGGCTTCGCCATGTGGCAACCTCCATGGGGGCCACGTAATGGGGGATCTTCTCATGTGACCTTTGTGATGTGTGTCTCCTGCATCACTAAGGTGAAATGAGCTGTTCCAGACCTCACAAAACATGCCTAATCTATGGCTCCTCCCCACACCAGCATGAATCTTGGGGGGTGGAGAGAGATAAAGCTGGTGTTGGGAAGAACCATTGTGTGGGCCTTCCTATAAAGACAACAAGGTTTTAGCATTAGCTCCATGGCACTGGAGGGAGCTGCAAGACAGCAGTTCGCAAGGCGTGGAAATAAGCCGGAAAAACCACCATTTCCAGTGCTTCATCATTCTTGTTAGCTAATAAGAAGGTGCAGTTTGGTATTGGGAGGGGGGAGAGAAGGAGGCAGAAGTGGGATTGGAAAGGGGCAGTACAGCCTCTCCCCATCATCACATAGATAAAGGACATTGAACTTCTGTCTTTCTAGAATCCTGTACTCTCTTTTATGATATCTGGTGCGTATCATAAAAACTTCTGAATGCATGCTTGTGTCTACACAATCATGTGTATCCTTGTAATTGTGTGTGGAAAATACGCACATTTATAGGAATGAACATTTGCAGTACTGCATGTGTGTTTGTGTGTTTGTGTGTGTGTGTGTATGTGTGTGTGTGTGTGTGAGAGAGAGAGAGAGGGAAAGAGACTGGTTCTTTACAAATGGGGGCATATTTCTGTGGGCATGTGGCAATGCAGGCAAAGTGAGCCACGTACATGTGACCATGTCACTACACATCACACATCTTGGTAGGTATGATGTGTATGTCTCAGCCTCAAATCAGGCAAAATGCTCAAGTCTTTTTGTCCACCAGTGTGTCTGTCCTAATGTGCCCCTGTGTGTATTCCAAGCATTTTTTATTTCTTTCCAGAGTGGGATGTCCCTTGGGGGCTCAGTTCCGGCACAGCGGAATGGACAGATTTCAGCCTTCAAATTCACCCTTGTCCCCCTTCCCAGCCTGGTCAAGAGCATTGCCAGAGGGGCCCTGCCTAGTTCTCACATGCATGGATTTCTCTGTGTCTGCTTGCCTGTCACTAACTTGTGCAAAGGGTCAGGAGTGCGAGCTGCCCTCTGCGCTAACCTCTTGCATTGTGTGATCCATTATGTGATCCATTCTGCTTCCTTAGAGTCATTGTGTCTGATCAGCTAGTCATCCCACTTGCACCTCGGAAGGGTGTCTGTCACAGGGATGGGGCAAAGCGTGCTCAGTGGGATCCCCCAGGGAAGGATCTGGTGCGGACTGAGCCTTCTAGTGGCCTGTCAGGCTGATCGTTGCAGGGGGACCTCAGAGAACAGAAACCAAAGGCAGTGAAGCACATGGCTTCAAAGCTGGGGGTGGGGGGCTTGTGCATCAGTCTGTCTTTCCTTTAACCTAGGGGAGGGAGGTAAGCAGGGAGCCAGCCACTCCCCTTTCCCTGCCTGTGTGGGGCAGAGGATGCAGGCATAGGGGGCAGTGCAAATTTGAGGGGCTCCATCCATCCACCCTATGGTGACCATTCTGCTCTAACTAGTCTTTGGAGAAATAACGGAATAAAGGAATTTGTACATTGCCCTGTGTCAGTTGTCTTTGGAAGCACATTTGGGAGACGGGCTCGTGGTCATCGGCGGCAGCATCTAATAGAGGATGAAGACGGACATGGCAGCAGGGCTTCCTCAAGATGGCTGGAGAACTGCCCTCAGTGCCAGGTTTACCAAAGAGGCAGAGAAAAGGCCTGGATCCCTGTTGCTTCTAGAAGGCTTGGGGGTGGGAAATACGTTTTCTCTAATTAGGATCAGAATCCTGGTTTTCTGTTTTTACTGTTTCTTGAAGAGTTCAAAGATGGAACTATTTTGCATGGCTTTCCTCCTTCTCACAGTTTCCTCACAAAATGCTGGCAAGGTAGATCACAAATATTATGGCCAGCCCAGGATCACCCGTATCCTTCACGGCCGATTGGGGATTTTGACCCAAGTGTTCCACGCTTTTGTCCGATGCGTTAACGACTACACCACACTGGCTGTGAAGAAAAGAGAGCTCTTCCATAGGCAAGCATAGGCCTGGGAGAAAGAATAGTGTGGAAGTTAAAACTTTTTAAGGTATTCCTTCCTAATAAATAGTTACCTAATGGGGAGGGGAGGGGGTTGTGCAAACCATGTTTATAATTTGTCAAGTAAGCGATTCAGGCAGTCCCCTGGGTCTCTTCAGGTTGATTTGAGCAACAAGACATTGTTCAAAAAAGGATAAGGAACGGAGGTCCACTACTGAGATCAAAGGGAGTAATAGTATGAAATCATTCTCCTTTTAAATTATTTTTTAAATTACAACATTAAATTACACATACCATCCACACAAATTAAATATAAAAAATAATAACACAAAAACTTAGTGCTTGGTGAGCATTATATCTTACATAATTTTTCCCTCCTTTATACATGACCTTCCATCCATCTTTTAACTGTCCCCATATCCCTTCCAAAACTACATATACACTCGGTCCAGCTTTTTCCCTTTCCCTTTACCCAATATAGCATTTATAAATTAATCCCATATTTCATTAAATCTATTTATCTTTATCTCTCCTTTTTAAATCTTGATTTCAGAACTCAATTTAACATTAATTGCAACATTCCAAATTTCATTATACCGTTCATGGAAAACCCAGTTTTGCTTCCAATTTTTTGTGATAAGCAATCAAGCTGCTATTTAACATATTCATTATCCCTCTCTTTTTTTAATGTTACTTACATCGACATATTCTATTAAAATTAGCAATGCTATTTTGGGTGACTTCCATATTAACTTCCAATATTTCTCTAATCTCTTCAAAAATCTTTACTCCACCTCTTTTGTATCACTTCACAATTCCACTACAAATGCAAATATGTGCTCAATTCATTATCATATCTCCAACATTTCTTAGAATATGTAATATCTGTAATGTTTAATTTTACTGGTGTTAAATACAATCTCCTCATTATTTTATAACCATTTTCTTTTATTCAAATGACATATTTTAAAAGCCCTTCTATTCCAAATATTCTTCCAATCCTCGTTATTTATTTTCCTGCCTCTCTATCTCATATTGTTTTAAGCCTTGTAACTGATCCTCCTGTTCTATCTTCTATAAATTATGCCAATTCTTCCTTTCCCCTTTCTCCCATCAATCTCATTCTCCATATTTTTTAATATTTTCAAATTTTTAATCAATTTCTTGTCTGCTGATCTAAATTCCCAGCTTTGTTTTAACTGTTGTTCTAATTGCATGAAATCTAACCAACTTAATTTTTCTCTTGCAAATATAGTTCTTAATTGTTCCTTAGTTTTAATTTTTTTTCCTTCCAGTCTTCCCATTTATATATCTTCTTTCTTTTTAACATATTTATCTTTTTTTTTCCCCAGCTCTCCAACTCCACTACTAGAGTTAGGGATAATATTCCAGGACATAGTACTTCTCTCGATTTACAGTATTCCAAATCTCTTAATACATTCTTTATAAAGGGACTCTGGGTCTTTTTTAAATTATTATTTTAATACTATTTTTATATATTAATGAATTAATTCATTAATAGTTTTACACCGGACCAATTTGCAGCATTTTTTAAATCTAAAGTGGAGGCCATCCGCCGGGACCTGTCTCCTTTTTTGAACACAGTGAGTCGAGCTGAGATGTCAGCGCTCCATCTTGCCCAGCAATTTTTGACTCCTTTCTGCCTGTCACGCCTGACACTGTGGCCAGGGCGCTGGATCGCTGTCGTGCCACCACCTCCTCCC